TCTCTCTCTCTCTCTCTCTCTCTCTCTCTCTCTCTCTCTGTCTCTATTTATTTATTTTGGTACTGGGGATTAAACCCCAAGGGCTCTCAACCACTGAGCCACATTCTCAGCCCTTCTTTTTAAAAAATATTTCATTTAGAGATAGCATCTTGCCAAGTCACTTAGAGCCTCACTAAGTTGCTGAGGCTGGGTTTGAACTTTTGATCCTCCTGCCTCAGCCTCTGAGCTGCTGGGATTCCTGGCATGCCCAACTGCTCCTGGAGATCTTTGTCTTTTAATACAAAAAAAGTGAGATACATGTTAAAAATAAATGAAGTTTTTTTTTAAAATGATACTGGTGCTTTACCACTGAGTTACATTCCCAGCCCTTTTTATTTTTTATTTTGAGAGGGGTCTTGCTATGTTACAGAGGCTAGCCTCAAACTTGCAATCCTCCTGCCTCAGCCTTCCAAGTCACTGGGACTACAGGCATGCACCACTGTACCCGACTGTGAAGTTACTACCCAAGACAGTACCTGTCAACATTGCCATCTTTTCATTTTAGCACAAGGAAATTCAAAATGCAACTGTTGCCAAACTCTGATTTTTTTTCCCAGAATTTGCAGACCTCTCTGTCTCAGACAATTCCTCTGGGGATTAATGGCCCATTGGAGTCTATACAATTTGCTTAATTACCCCCAAATTATTATCTAAACTAAAACAGAATCTTAATAGACAATCTTTAATGTCTTTATCCTTGTCTGGAAGAACTTCATGTCTTGGCAAAAATAGCTTCTTAAAATGAGGCTGGATAATCCCTTAGCCATGGTGATTAAAGACAACAATGGCTCATTTACAAAATGGGAGAATTAGAAAGCTGAGACATAGCCTGCTGGTTCTGCAAGCTACTGAAAATAAGGACAAGAAGGGGTGGGGCCAGAACATCCACATATCAGAGGAGGTTTGTCCACCAGGCCACGCCAAGGCCATGACATGTGGTAGTGCAATGCAGCCCCGGGCCAAGGGATGCAATCACTTGGTGGGAATGAGTTTCATTAGCACCATTCCAAGAAGGGAAGTAAACATCCCTGCTTGCAAGTGACATGGTGCTTCTTAAAAGTAACACTCTGGGAGCTGGGGGTGTGGCTCAGTGGTAGAGCACTTGCCTCACACATGCAAGGCCCTGGGTTTGATCCTCAGCACCACATAAAATAAATAAATTAAATAAATAAATAAATACATACATACATATAAAATGTTTTTAAAAATTAACACTCTATTTGGTTTGGGGCTTCATCTTGCTCTCATTGACAGCCTTTGCACTGCATTATACACGAACATTTTGCAATATGTACCAGTGATTCACTTATTCATTTACTGACATAATAGTGAGCTTTTTGTGGGAACCAGGGTCTGTGCTTGGCAATGGAAATACAAAGATGAAGACAGCACTGGTTCTCCAGTTGAACAGAAAATCTGAGAGCACAGATGAAAGAGAGGAATAACTGTGTCTGTCTACTATCACACAGTTCACTTCTGACACCAAATGTGTGGGTTTTCCAATGCTAAACAATTCTCCAATTCTCTATGGACCCCAATGGGGTGTCCTACAATTTTATCCAATTCTGTCCACCTGAAGGTGGTGTCAGATCCCACGAGTACAGGACACAATCCCACAGGATGGCCTCATTTCAGATGCCAATCTAAAGTCCAAGCCTCCCATGCTCTCGACTGGCTGTAAATTCAGGGTTCTCATGACTCAATCTTGTGGTCTGATAGTTTGCTAGAATGAATTACAGAACTCAGAAAAATAGTTTAATTATGTTTACCTGTTTATTGCAAAGAATACGACTCAGGAAGAGCCAAATGGAAGAGATGCATGGGGCAAGGTATGGGGGCGCAGAGCTTCCACACTCAGTTCTGATTTGCCAGCCTCCCAGAACCTGCATGAGTTCATCAGGCTGGAAACTCTCCAAACCCCTTCACTTAGAGTTTTGATGAAGGCCATTACATAGGCATGGGTGATTGAGTCACTGGCCACTGGTGATTAAACACAATATCCAGCCCTTCTCTCCCCAGAGGTTGGTAGGTGAGGTCAAAAATTCCAACCTCCTAATTGTGCATTTGGCTCCTTTGGCAAACAATATCCCCTTCTTCAGGAGTTTTCCAAAAGTCATCTATTATCTCAAGTGTGGCAGACATAGTAACAAAAGATGTTCCTTTCACCTTTATCACTCTGGAGCTATTTCAAGAGTCAGAGACAAAAACTAAAATTTAAAGCAGAAGTTATCACATTGGAAATTTCAAGGGCTTTAAGGATCTCTGGTTAGGAACCAGATAAAGACAAAAATGTTATTTTTCTTGCATCACAATATCACAAGACATTATCATCATCATCATCACCATCACCTTTATCCTGAATGAATGTTGGATTCTGTCCAATGCTTTCTCTGCATCTGTTGAGGTGACCATCATGTGCTTTTTGTTTTTGAGTCAGTGTAAATGGCATTTATTGATTTTCAAGTGTTAAACTCACTTATATATCGTTTTATTGAATTTGCTTATGTTTTCTTACACATATTTATGCCTATGTACATGAGGGATATTGGTCTCTAGTTTTATATATGAAATATATAGTTTATATATATATATGCTTATATATATATATAGGTTGTAGGTGGACACAATACCTTTATTTTATTTATTCATCTTTATGCAGTGCTGAGGATCGAACCCAGTGCCTCACACATGCCAGCCGAGCGCTCTACCACTGAGCCCCAGCCCCAGCCCTGGTCTCTAGTTTTCTGGTGGTCTTTGTTAGTCTTATGCTAGCCTTACAGAACAAGTGGGGAAATATTGCTTCCTCTTTAGTTTTTTGAGAAAGTTTATGTAGAATTGGTAAGAATTTTTCTTTAAATGTTTCTAGATTCACCAGTAAAGCTTTCTGGACCTGGAATTTTCTTTATGGGAGGTTTTAAACTACAAGGTATTTCTGTAGTCGATATAGGACAATTTAGGATATCTATTTCTTTTTGAGTGAGGGTGGTAGACTGTATTTTTTAAAGAAGCTGTACCTTTCACCTAAGTCATCAAATTTATCACTTTTTAATGTCTGTAGGATCCACAGTGATTTCCCCTTTCCCCTCTCTTTTATGACATTGGGTTTTGTTGTTTTATTTGTGTATGTGTGTGTGTGTGTGTGTTCGTGTTCTCTCCCTCTTTTGATTTGCCTGATCATTTGGCTAGAAGTTTATCAATTTCGTTGAATTTCTCAAAGAACTAACTTTTAGCTCTATTGACTTTCTTGTTTTTGTTTTAATTTATTCTTCCTCATTTTTTATTCCATACTTTCTGCTTCCTTTGAGTTTATTTTGTTCTTCCTCTTCTACTTTTTTAGGATCTTGAGATCTTTCCTCTTTCCTAATATAGACCATTTAATGTTATGAACTTTCCTCTAAGTGCCTGTTAGCTGCATTCCACAAATTTGAAATGCTGTGGTTTTATTTTCATTCTGTTCAAACTACTTTATAAATTTTCTTCATTTCTTCTTTGATCTATGTGTCATTTAGAAGTTTAGTTTTCAAATATTTCAGAATTTTCCTGACACATTTGTTACTGATTTTAATTTAATTTTGATACGATCAGAGAACATATTTTGGATCAGTCAATATTTTTAAGTTTGTTGCATCTTATTTTATGACCTAGATATGGTCTATCTTGGTAAATGTTCCATGGACAGTCAAAAAGAATGTACAGCCTGATATCATTGGTTGGAGCATTCTATATATATTAGATCAAGTTGGTGATAGTGTTGTTCAAATATCCTGTATCTTTACAGGCTTTCTGTATATTTGTTCTATACATTAAGAGAGTTATTGTAATCTCTAACTATAAATGTAGTTTTGTCTATTTTTCCTTTTAGTATTATCAGACTTTGTTTCATGTATTTTGAAGCTCTGTTATTAGCTGAATACACATATAGGATTATTGTATCCTTTTGATGAATTTCTTTTTCTTTTTCTTTTTTTTTTTGGTACCAGGGATTGAATTCAGGGGCACTCAACCACTGAGCCACATCCCCAGCCCTTTTTTTGTATTTTATTTAGAGTCAGTGTTTCACTGAGTTGCTTAGTGCCTTGCTTTTTCGCTGAGGCTGGCTTTGGATTCACAATCCTCCTGCCTCAGCCTCCCGAGCTACTAGGATTACAGGCGTGTGCCACCGGGCCTGGTGAATTTATTTTTTTACCACTATGAAATGCAATGTTTGTTTTGTTTCTTTGTTCTTTAACATAGATATCACCAAGTTATGCTGTTTCCTTCTAAATATTTTCTTTGTATATTTCTTCAACATATTGCATCCATGTGTACCTTATTAAAAAATTCACTGTGAAACATTATATATATATTCTAGTGTGTGCATACACATGTTATATGCAAATACTATCCCATTTTTATTAGACACTTGAACATCTGCAGATTTTGATATTTTCAGGGAGTTCTGGAAACAATCTTCCATGGATACCAATGGATGACTGTACAGTGAAAAATCCATGTACCCACACACAGCTTAAGAAACAGAATATTTTCAAGACCTTCAAAGCCATCTGTGCATCTCCCACCCCTTCCAAAATTAAATTTACTTTTGTATCAATCAATTACTTGTTTTTATTTATAGTTTTCTTACGTATTTCTAAACAACATAGTATTCTATATTCCATTTTTGGTCCTTCTATACAAGAAATTATCTGTATATATTCACTGTGACTTGATTTTCTTGTTCAACATTGTGTTTTGGGGATTCATCCACATTGATATTATATATATCATTTATATATAATATATATATATATAAATGTAATTCACACATTTTCCACTACTGCATAAAATTCTTTTCAAAGTATATGAATAAACCGCAGTCTAACTATTCTACTGACAGACATCTGTGCTTTTTCCAATTATTTTACTCTGATAAATCATGCTGCAACCAAGATTTTTAAATATTGCTTTTGGTGTACTTACAAAAGAGTTTCTCTGAATTATACACCAGGAGTGAAACTTCATGCACATATTCAAATATCCCATTTTTCTTAACTTTCATTCTGTTTTTAATGATGCTTCCTAATATTTCTTAATAATTTTGCATTAGACTAAATCCCTATTGTCAAACATTTAGAATCTGCCTGCAGTTTTTGGAACTGTGTATATAATTCTGGAAAACAAAAATTTTGAGCAGAAGTCTCTGCTTTTTAGGTTATTTTCTTATGAAGTATTCCCAGGAGTGCAATTTTAGATAGAGACCAATTTTCCAATTGTACCAATTCACATTCAGTGGGAGGATATTTTATTGCTGAAAAACATGAGGTAATCCCCATCCAAGTAATTGTTAATCCTTTGGGATCACAGATCCTTTGAGACTATGAGTAAATGCACAGACCTTCTCTTGAAAACAAAACAAAAAACAAAAACTCTCAATTATATTCATAAACAAAACAACATGGGGCTGGGGTTGTGGCTCAGTGGTAGTGTGCTTACCTAGCACATGCAAGGCCCTGAGTTCGATCTTCAGCACCACATAGAAATAAATAAAATAAAGGTATTGTATCCAACTACAACTAAAAAATAATTTAAAAATACAATTTCAAGGGTTTCTTAGATATTTTGACTAAATAAGAAATATCCTTCTCTCAGTTCATTTTGTGTTGCTCTAACAAAATATATGAAGCCGGAATCTGTATAAGGAGTTTGCCAGGCTAATGACTCAGGAGGCTGAGGCAAGAGGATTTCAAATTAGAAGCTAGCCTGGGCAACTTAATAAGACCCTGTCTCAAAACAAAATTGAGGGTTGGGAAGGCTGGGGATGTAGTTCAGTAGTAGAGCACTTGCTTAGCCCGCACAGGGCTGTGTGTTCAACTACAGTACCACACACACAGAAAAGAAAAAAAAAAGAAGAGAAAAAAGAAAAAAAGAGAGAGATACAGGGAGAGAAAGAGAGAGACAGAGATATTACTATTTGGCTCATGGTTCTGGAGATTAAAGAGCAAGGTGCCAGCTCTGGTAAGGGCTGCATGGTGAATGGCATTCAAGAATGTCAAGTAGCATATGGAAGAAGGATTCAGGGAAGGTAAGGCTCACTTATAACAACTTGTTCTCGTGAGATTTCTTCTGAGATGAGAACATACTCCCATGAGAAAAGCAGCAATCCATTCTCAGACCTAATCACCTCCCTTGAGGCCCCATCTCCGAAGGCTTCCACTACCTCAACACTGCCACACTGGGGACCAAGTCTCTAGCACATGACTCTGGGGGACAAAACACAGCAGTCCTACATGCTGCACATAAGATTTCTTATGATACTTCACCAAAAAAGTTCACAAACCAACTCTTTATTTGGTACCTTATCTTGCAAACCACCATTGAGTGAGCATCTACAATGCACAGCAATATTCCAGATGCTAGAGGCAGAAGAACAAATCCTCCTGGTTTCAAGGAATACAGAGTCTTCCAGGCAAGAGAGAAACCCAAAAGCATTGACAGTAAAATATATTCAGTTAAAAAGGTATTCATTAGCCAAAATGCAGGTACAATTAAGGATCAAAAAACTTTCCTTTATCAAAGCATTGTAAAAAATGAATGAACACTCCCAAAGATGCTTTAAATAAAGGAAATAATACCAGCCAAAAGACTTCATATAACCTGGCATATATGGGAAATTTATCATGAGTTTAATATGACTGGATTAAAATGGTAATGAATGTGGGCAGAGCTGAGGCTCCTCCTTATGTGGGGCACAGATTGAAGAAATAGTATTGACACACAATTTTTGCAGTTGGTCTGACAACACAAAGGAAACCACAAAAGATTTCCTTCCAAACACTTCATTTATTACCCAAGCCAACTCTTACTACATACAAAGAAAATATTTTGCCTGTTTTTTTTTCTGCAACTGTCTAAAATGCAGTGTTCAATTCGGAATACAAGACTTCAAACCAACTTCTTATTAATATAATCTATAAACACATTTTAAAATTAATATTGTATGATGGCTTTCATTTTTGTAAGCAGAAGTATTAGAAAGCCTTACAATAATTAATACAATTTCCTTATAAAATTGCCTTGAAAAACTTATAGGTAAAACTATGATTTTAATATTCACTTAAAATGCTGATTTTCAACCTATTGATTAATGCTTCTCATATATCATCTCATGAAAATATTTTGCTGTTTGTAATTTAGCTAAATTTTTGAAACATAACTAAGCACAATGGTTACTTTGATGTTACTGATTTAATTATAATGGAACAAATGAAATGTGTTTAAACATATGCATCTGTATTCCTATGGAAAATGAATACAACTAATTTTGATAATACAGTCTAGTCAATGTCTTGATAGACTTTCATCAAAAGTATATTTAGATTCATATTTACTTTCTCTAGAAATTATCATTTGTTTAGAATTCTGCCATAATTAATTCTGTTCCCTTAGCGTAGTTCCCAATTCAAGTGCATCACAGAACTACATGTATTAATATATAAAGTGTTATATAGTTACAGAATCTGTTTTCTCATGTGACTAGAAAGGAAAAAACAAGTTTTAAAATATAAATACCAACTGAGATACAGTAAATTAAGTTTATAAAGCTCTCAGCAAAAAGAAATTCTTGACTTATTTTTTTCTTCTGTTTCAAAGTACCCCTTAGAGCTGGCTGTAGTGGCACATATATGTAATCTCAGCAACAGAGGAGGCCATGGCAGGAGGATTGTAAGTTTGAGGCTAACCTCATAAATTTAGCAAAACCTTGTCTCAAAATGAAATAAAAAGATCTGGGGATGTGTTTAAACATTAGCATAAGGTTCCTGGGCTTAATCTTCAGTAACACACACACACGTGTACATTTGCCACAAAGCACCCTTAGATCTCTAGATGGCATGCCATTAAACATTGTTTAACTGTCAGAATAGAAGATCTTCAAGGGTACCTTAAAATAATAAAAAGGTGTAGTCTCATTATGATTAACTAATCACCACAAAGAACATGGTTTATGTTCAGATTTCTACTTAAAAAAAGGAAATTCCTCATAGATGTGAAAAAAATCTGTATGAAAATTTCATAGAAATACCAATGGATTTAATAGGGGAAGAAAAGCACAAATACGAGTACATATTAATATGTATTTTCTTCTCAGGTGTTTGTTTATTTTAAGAAAGGGAATCTTCTTCATGTGGTACTTTTCTCCAAGTAGAAAACATTCTTTAAATATTCTTAACCACACAGACCTATATCAACTTTGACCACACAAAAGAGTAAAACAACAAATCTACAATAGGTACAAATTATATACATTTATTAATAATTTTAAATAACACTCTTGTATAAATTCTTTCATATATTCAAATCATACACAAATTTAGAAATGCATCATGAAGCCTAGTACAGCACATGAGTGAAACATGTTTTTAAAATTTGTGTTAGAATTGTAGTGACATAAATACAAGTTTAATGTTTCAGAAACATTCCCTAATTACTTGGGATGAAATTTAACTTGTTACAGAATGCTTGTGCCTAGCATTAAAACTTGACAAATTCATTTTGCTTTTGGACTAATTTGAATCTGAGGCCCTGGGCTCACATTCTAGGCCTGCTGCTTTAGTTATTGCATATGCATAAATAACAAGAAGGATTCCCCATTGCTTTGGAAAAAGCATCATTCAACCACTGATGTCTTAATGATTTATAACCTTTATAGTCCATTTGATCCTGTTTGACTTCTTCAGATGAATCAGTGTGTTCTTCCTGCTTTTCCCCTTGGCATAGTGACTGGCTCAGGATTGAAGAGAAATATATGTTAACCTTTCCTGACTCCCAGCACACATCAAACCCATTTTAGCTCCCAAACTCCTTACTCTCAAGATCAAAAGAAACCAAAAGTTCTTTGTGGATGAGGCCAGGAAGACTTTCTTAACTCTAACTTCTCTGAACACTTTGCAAGAGAGCTTTCTTTGAGATGAGGAAATTCAACTCCTAACCACATAACCCAAAATAGGAGAACCAGTATATACTAATTACAGGTGGTGTTATATTTTCCAAAAAGTGTAGGACCAATGATGTAATAACCCAGTTCTAATTAAATCTTCCAAAAATAAGTACTGTTGCTTTAGCTCCTCATTTCCACAATAGCACAAGAAGGGCTAAATATCTTGAAGACAGTCAGCTGACCAAAATCAACTAGGAAGTCAGTGAGTACTTCTCTGATGGTCAATTATCCTGGGAATATTAAAGCTGGAGAGTAGCCATATAATTTGAGGCTGATACAAACCCTGTTCAAAAATCTCTCTCTTCCCATTCCATATAGCTGATTTGTTCTTATCTCTTAAAATCCAGATCTCACTGGGAAAAGTTAAACACTGGGTCCATGGGACCTCAGGATAAATAGGAGTTTTTAAAAAATTATCACTTTTTTCCTATAGTTGAAGAAATTCCATTAATAAGAGAGCCCTGGGAGGTAGAGTGGAGGGAGGGGGAAGTAAGGGAGGATGAAGACATACTTAACAATACTACCTAAAGTATCTAACTATCAGAAATGCATAAGGGCTTATTAAAATGAATTAATGAAGATAAAAGTATCACTTAATAGCCTCTGCCATTTCAACGTTGG